CAATCAACTTCAGCAAGTAATGTTGGCCTTTGGAATTGGCAATCAACTTCAGCAAGTAAAATTTGCCTTTGAATTGGCAATCAACTTCAGCAAGTAATCTTTGCCTTTGAATTGGCAATCAACTTCAGCATGTAATCTTTGCCTTTGAATTGGCAATCAACTTCAGCATGTAATCTTTGCCTTTGAATTGGCAATCAACTTCAGCAAGTAAAATTTGCCTTTGAATTGGCAATCAACTTCAGCAAGTAATCTTTGCCTTTGAATTGGCTATCAACTTCAGCATGTAATCTTTGCTTTTGAATTGGCAATCAACTTCAGCATGTAATCTTTGCCTTTGAATTGGCAATCAACTTCAGCTTTGTAACTTTATAACAAAATAGCTTTAACACAGAACACGTTTAGCTCACAAAAAACAACTTCAGCTCACATATAACAACTTCAGCTCACATATAACAACTTCAGCTCACATGTAACAACTTTTATTCATTAGATATTTAGGAGATGAAATGTTGGAGTGAATGTGGAATGAACTGAACACACTAAGGAATGAAATGAGATGACAGGGCATGGTTAATGGGACAGACACACTGGACGAACTGCACAAAAACAGACCAGAAAGAACTTGATGTCTTGGATGGCGTCACGACACTCTTCATTTCTGAAAACAAAATAAGTAGAAAAAATACATTTGTAAATGAAGTATGAATACAGTTAGGGTGACAACTAGTGTGTAACAACCGCAACACAATTCTTCACAAAATTGCCTTTTGTCTTGCACAACAGGCAGATTTGTGTAATACTCAGGATTTTAAAAGACACATGATCAACTAGAATCAAAAGACATTTGCCTTTTTCAAGTGACTTAACTACATTATGTACAGTCACACTCTTGGGGGGGGGGGCGATGTGGGCTTCAGGAGTATGTACATTTTTGAAAAGGAGGGGAAAGAACTGAAGACAAACCATATATGTTTTGTTCAACCATTTTGTACCAGAACATACTCAGGACTCGTGAACATCTGTCTGTGGAGGGCATACACACCCCTCCCCCACCATAGTTATGTAATTGATGTTTATCTTCCACATGATCACATGCACTCGCATGCAAATATCACATGCAAACATGTGTCGAACACAAAGGTCAAGCAGGTTGAAAAATGCATACAGCATACACATCTGAATCCGTACGCGATCATGCCACACTTTACACAACATACAGATCTTCAGACTTTTGGCATCATGCTAAAGGAGCTTAGATTGTAAATAATTTATTGTATTTGTAAAGGGCACTTTTATTTTGTTTATAGTCAATCCTTAATTTGTGAAAAATACCATTGCAGTAGTACCACTTTAGTTGTCACCCTATTTCTAAATGTTGAACGTCAATAAGCATAAGGGTCTGACGTCTGACAAATGATGTACCAAAGAATTTAATACACCACTTTGTAAATTGATCATCTAATGCAACACATCATATATGTATAAATTGACCACAGCAACCCACAAAATTAATAATTAACATAGACTGCTTTAACAATACTGCCTACTTTGTAGTCACCTAATACTCTTTGGGGCATTTCAATACAGTTGTATGCCGCTGTAACCATATTGAGTCAACTGAAATGCCACAAAAGACTAGGGCCTACCAAGTAACCACATTCCTCAAAGATAACACAATACGATCAAACCATCTGGAGAAAAGATGTTCAACAAAATCACTGTACTACATCATCCAATTCAAAATAGAATATGTCAGTTCATAGCAAACATGCATGCAACATGGAGGTAGGAAACATAGATCATTATGCAGGAGTAGTAGGGAAGGTGGGGGTACGGGACCAAAATGGAAAAAAAAAACTGTGGCAAGCCTGGACACGCCGCTCTCAGTTTTAAAAATAGTTGGGGGAAAAATATAGGGGAATCCCCCGCGGCAAATTTTTAGAAATCTGACGTCAGAACTGATTCGGGAGCAAAATAGCAAAATGTGTGCCAAGTCAGGGCCTGTCGCTCTGGAGTTAAAAAATTAATCTGTCGTCGCTAAAATGAGGTGATGTCACCACCTCGTGACCTTGAAAAAATTTGGCGTAAACAACGTGACCTTGAAACGGGTTGAGGCACGATAGAATTTGGCGTAAACAACGTGACCTTGAAACTCGGGATAAACAATGTAACCTTGAAATTCAGGATAAAAAAGAGGGAATTTCCACTACAGTCAAGCTCTCACGGATTATGAAATAATTGATCGCCCTCAAAAAAAATTAGAAAAAAAAAATATTTCCTATAATAAAATGGAGAGTATATGTTCAGACCGACCGTCAAAGGATATTCTAAATGGAACAAAGCCACGCTGCTGCGTGATTACGTGCAGCGATATAATATACCGCACAATGAAAATGTTTCTCTTACTCGTAAAGTCTACATCGAGGGGATAACAAATTATGAAAGTAAATTTAAAAACTTGAGGAAAAAGACACTACATGAGCTCAAACAGATTGTAGTTGAACAAAATCTAAAATACGTACCGACGGGTTATAAAGGACGGTTTTTTGAAAAAAAGATTTAATCTCGGCGATTAAAACATACAGACAACCCGAAGACTTTACAGAGTCAGCTTTTAGAGAAACGTGAAAGTTTAAAAATTACTACAGAAACTGGGAATTAAACCCCAGACTTTATAACCATGATTTAATCAAGTTTTTTGATTCGCACAAGGAACAAATAGTCAATAAAATCAAGTCTGAATTGAGAGAGCTCAGAGGTTTAAAAGTAGAGCTTGTACTAAAATAAGGTATCGAAAAATCAAACCGAACGATATCATCGAAACGATCGAAGCTATTCATTATAGCAAGCCGAAAGCCGTTTTAAATCAAAGTCAAATAAATCAGGTTTTAAAAGAAGAGATCGAAGAGCTATTCAAAAAGGATGAAAGGTATACGAATCAAGGATCGGGTTGGGTAGTCGATACAATACCCGCGTTATACATCAACATCAACAGATATAATCCAGCGAGAGGTAGTTCTTACATAAACCTACCCGAACATCTTAAAATTAAACAGGCGATGATCAACGTACAAAACAAAGACGTCGAGTGTTTGAGATGGTGTTTGAGATCTGCCTTGGGGTTATACACGGACAAAGTAAAAAATCAAATAAGAAATAATACTAAATATAAAATCAACGAAAGCAGACCGTCGATTTACATCAAAGACGACGGACTCAAATTTAAAGGCGTTGACTTTCCGACACCAGTCGATCAGATACCCAAGATAGAAAGACAAAATAATTTATCGATAAACGTATAGGGTTATGAGGGTGAGATATATCCATTATACGTGTCTAAAAACTACGGGTCACGAGAGATTGATCTGCTTTTGATTTCTAAAGGTGACAAGCATCACTAGTGTTGGATAAAATATTTTACGAGGTTGATGTACGACGTTACGAAACATAAATGTAAGAAATATTTTTGTCGAAGATGTCTATTCATTTTACCAATCAAAACAAATTAGACAGACATATCGCCGATTGTAAGGGTATAGATGCACATCCATCACACAAACAAAAAGCACCATTTGTCATTTATGCTGACTTTGAATCCATACTACAAACAACAACAACACCCACACAAGCACTAACATCTAAACCTACTCACTCAGACAAAGAGACAAACACAAAAAAAGATTAACGTTCACAAAGCTAGCGGTTATTCGCTAGTTGTCGTCCGATGCGACGGTAAAAATGTGTATCAAGAGACTTATAGAGGCAAAGACGCTTCAACTAGATTTATAACAACGTTGTTACAATTACAAAGCGATATTAATTGTCTATTTGAAAACCCCAAGCCATGAAATTTAATGAGCGAGCTAAAGACCATCATGATAAAACAAACGCGTGTTGGATTTGTGAAAAACCAATTTATCCCAATTACTGTCAGTGCCAGAAACCCAGAGAACCCAAGACGATAAAACAAATGAAAGAATATCAGTACAAAAATAGTAAGGGATTTATCGAGTCTAAATGTCTCGACTGCAAAAAGAGCATTAATAAATTTAGAAAGGTGAGAGATCACTGCCACGTCACTGGTAAATATAGGGGTGCCCGCACACGCTTATTGTAACCTCAAACTACAAATTAAACCCGGTTATACACCGATACCAGTCTTTTTTCACAATTTACAAAATTACGACGCGCATTTAATCATGCAGGGAATGACAGAATACGATAGCCAAACAGAAATACAAGTGATCGCTAAAAATTCAGAAAAATATATTTCGTTTTCGATAGGAAATCTACGATTTTTAGACTCGTTTAGTTTTATGGCATCATCGTTGGATAAATTCGTGAAAGCTTGTCCAAAAGAGTCGTTTCATCTACTCAAAAAGCATTTTAAACATCCTGACTCGTTATTACAAAA